TCTCAGAGTTTTATTGTATCTTTGCATACACATCAGAGTTACTATTGTATTTCCAAATACACATAGTTGATAACCATGTTTTAAATGCTTTTCTTTATATTGCACTTGTTTTATACTTCTTTATATTGAAATGAGTTCAGTTAAGTTGAGTTGAGTTGAGCCAGGTAAGTTCTTCAGTTCCTTTCAAGATTATGTCTTGTTTAGAATTCCTCTCGCATACTCGTACATTCAATGTACTGATACTTTTTGGCTTGCATCTTTGTATGATGCAAACACAGGTAAACATGATCAGCATCCAGTGCATCATTGATCCAGTTGAGCACTCAGAGTCTTGTGGTGAGCCTCCTTGCTTTTCGGATGATTCCTTTTATTGCTTTTAGTATTATTATTAGTTCATTAGGATTTCGTGGGTCTTGTCGCGACATCTATCTCAGTTGTTTAGAGGCTTCATAGACAGTCAAATGTTAGTTCTTTAGCCTTTTCATTTCATTATCTTATGTTGAGACTTGAGTTTGCCTTATTGGCTAGTTGAATGTTTTCTTTATAACATTCTAAGTTTTGTTTGGGTTTATCTTGTTAAGCTAAGTCTTCCGCTGAGTAAGTAAGTCAGGTCAGGGTTCGCTTAGGGCCAACAATGGTTTTCGAGTGTCAGTCCCGCCCAGGGTATAGGCTCGGGGCGTTACATAATTTGTATAAATCAGACATATGTGTCTATGAAAATTGTGTTTGTATATGTATATATTCTTTGTGTTAGGCTAGAATGTCGAGCGAGATTAGGAGAGAGAGAGAGAGAGAGGAGAGAGGGTAGAAAGTGGAGAGAGGTGAATTGTCTATGTACATCGGTTATATAATCATATCATATTTTTTTTTTGTGTGTGCGCGCGCGCGTGTGCGTGTGTGCGTGCGTGCATGTGTGAACCATAGGCCCACCTATGTGGCGTCACCACATACCAGTATTCCCTTTTAATCTATTTATTTCCAAAACTAGCCTTCCCCCTCTTCTAAAACAACCTTTACAACTGTCATCACCATCTTACAAATTAAGCCTCCACTAAATCTACCATATGTATAAATATCAGTCCCCTTTTGAACTTACTTAAGTAACTGATAGCCATATAGGAATACTAGGCCAAACTTAAATTTAACCAACTAGTACTAGAATGAAGTATTGGGTCAAACTATGTGAGTTAGCTGGCTCAAATGATTATAGGGAAAAGGGACGGATTTACCCCCGAACTTTAATAAATGGTACGTATATGCCCTCTGTTATACTTTGCGTCCACATATGCCCCTGCTGTCCAAGTATAGGTACACATATACCCCTCTCACTAACGGACCCCTAATTTCTTACACGTGTCTTAACCCTATTGAACTACCCGTTTGATCTTTTTTTTAACCCATAACCCAATACCCACCCAATTTCCTCTAAAAAGAATCCTAATTAAAACATCCAAATTGACACACCAAAATCCGTCCCTTTCCCTAGTCGGAGGTCCCCGCGTATCTCACACACCAAAACCCTAGTCGTCATCGCGATTCCAGTTTGTCTTCGTCGATTCCACCTTGTCTCATCGATTTCACCTTGTCTTCGTCGAATCTATGTGTGTTGGTCATAATTTTGTAGTCAATTTTTCATCTATCTGTCGTCTCCCTCAAATCAGACCTAAAACCATGTCTGAAAGTTCTTGTGATTCAATTAGTAACTCCATGATAATGACTTGTTTTTGTGGTGAATTGGCTCGTTGTTTCACTTCAAGGACTCCATTGAACCCCAAAAGAATATTTTATAAATGTTCTAAACCTAAGGTACATTTTTCGCTAAATGTAAATGAATATGATTTGTGCTTGTATTTTGGTGATTATGAGTTCTTCCTCTGTTATTTTTATTAGATTGAAAATTGTGAATTTTGGAGGTGGGAAGACAGTTCTTCAGAAAACTCTTCTATTGAAGTTAATTTATTGAAGTCTAAATTGGAAGTTGCTACGTTGAAAATGGAGAATTTGAGAGAGTCGTTGAATGCGGTGAAGATTGAAAGAGACAATTTGAAGAAAAAATTGGAGAATTTAGAGAGTTTAAACTACTTCGAGGTGAATAAATCAAGAAATTTGGAAGCTAAAGTGTCGAAGTTGAAGATGTTGTGTATATTGTCATTTACTGTGTTTGTGGTATTTGTTGTTGCAATTTTCAAGTGATTAACTGGTAGCATGAGGAATATATGTTGTTGAATTGTAGTTTCAAGGGTTAGTTATTTCAAGTATTTGTAGTTTCAAGGGTTAGTTATTTCAAGTATTTGTAGTTTCAAGGGTTAGTTATTTCAAGTATTTGTAGTTTCAAGTGTTAGTTATTTCAAGTATTTGTAGTTTCAAGTGTTAGTTATTTCAAGTATTTGTAGTTTCAAGTGTTAGTTATTTCAAGTATTTGTAGTTTCAAGTGTTAGTTATTTCAAGTATTTGTAGTTTCAAGTGTTAGTTATTTCAAGTATTTGTAGTTTCAAGTGTTAGTTATTTCAAGTATTTGTAGTTTCAAGTGTTAGTTATTTCAAGTATTTGTAGTTTCAAGTGTTAGTTATTTCAAGTATTTGTAGTTTCAAGTGTTAGTTATTTCAATTGTTCCTATGTATAAGTGAATCTTATGTTTGAATGTTGGTCATTATTTAGTGTAGCTATTGCTTCAAACGTATTGTGAATTTCAAGTGTTGGCTTTGAACATTATTTTGTGTCTTTTGCCTTAAAGTTTGTAGTATTTATTTGTGTTATATTAGTCATTATGTTGAAGATGGATAAACTTTCTGGTATTGCCATTATGTTTTCCTTGAATTTAGAGAATCTGAAAATGAAATGAAAGCTTGTCTTACCATTGTTTATGAAACATGTTTTCAGATGTTATTAAACTTGCACAAAGACACTATTAAACTATCAACATGAAAGTCACTAACTAACTTTTTTTTAAAGCGAACAAAAATTCCATTACTTATCAGACATCATCAGAAACTCGGTTTAACATCATCCATGAAGTCTTAAAATTAAAAATCGTGCTTTGCTTGCTGTGACTGCTTGGTGATTCTTCAACTCACAACACCAACTCTGTGACTGCCATTAGCTCTAATAAATCTAGGACTTGAAAAGCCATTCAACATGGATGGCAATATTGCCAAATTGGACTTCTTTGGAAACCTGCGAACAACACACACATTAATTTCTGAAATGCCTTTTGGATTCAAGTAAATACCCCTCTTAAATCATCATCATCTTATCACAGCAGTCAATAAATTTACCTCTGAGTAAATCATCATCTACTTATCAGTTCAATATAGAACCAAAAGGAAAAGAAATTTATCACAACAGTCGACCATTGACAGAGAAAATGGTCTCAAACAATGTATACCACATCAAAATACTATTGTACATCAACAGAACCCAACAGATACAAGACACTATATATAACATTCACTTGGTCATATATAAGCAAAACGACAGTTAGTTTTAGCTAGTACACTCAGCCTATACAAACAGTAGAAGTAAAACAGAGTACCAAAGCTACAACTTTAACCTTAAAGGCATCAGCCTATAGTACCACCAAAAACATCACAAAAAACATCATTTAAGGCACCAGCCTACACAAAAATATACCAAAAAAAATAAGTTTAAGCCTTAACATCATTTAAGGCACCAGCCTATACAAAACATAGCAAAAAGACAAGTTTAGCCTTAACATCAATAAAGGCACCAACATATACAAAACAGTACCAACACAATAGCATCATCCCCTTCTTGGCCTCAAATTTTGTAGCTGGTTTGTAGTAACTGCACTCTGTCCATTCCAAGTTAAGCCAGTTGGTCCTATGGGAAGATTTGTAGGTTCACTAACACCAAATTTGTCACCTCTGAAGCCTATTACTCTACTTCCAATTGGTTCTTTGTGGGTTCTGTTTCTTTCTCACTCTTGTTAGAAAAGCTTCTTCTGAGATTGTTCTTGGCCTTAACCTAGGGTCTTCATCATCATCCTCAGCTACTGGAAGAAGCATATTCAAATTGACTTTCTTGTGTTGGTTGTGGGGCTGTGCAATTGATGTCTTTCTCAGAAGCTTTATCTTCATCAACTAAACCTCTCATAAGCTGCCTCTTTTTTCCCCTGCCAGATTCTTTTCCTTGCTTAGCAGGTTGCTTCCCTTGCTTTTTAGTAGGTTGTTTCCCCTGCTTTGCCTTATTAATCATAATAGAGATATAGAATTAAATAGTAAAATAGAATAATTATTTGATGAAATTAAAGATTAAATGAAAATTACCTTTTCACATCTTCTTGCATTATGATTTTGTTCTCCACAATTACTACATGTCATCATTTTTCCTTTCTTGTTTGCTTCCATACTCCTTGCCTCTTAACAACTTCATCCTTTTCTCTTTCCCTCATAAGCTTAGGTCTAACAACAAGCTTGACGAATTCTGGTGGTTCAATGGCATGCAAAGGATCACATTTCCAGAATGGTTCTCCCCTAACAGGTTGTAACTTGTGTTTGTAAACTGCCAATGCTGCCTCCTTACTATAATACCAATGAATTTCTTTCTTTGGTATCATTTTCTTGTGCTCCATGGCCTTAATTGCATGTGGACATGGAATTCCAGTCAGATCCCATGTTCTGCAAGTGCATTTTCTCTCTCTTAAGTTGACAATGTGTCTAACTGCACCTTCAGTAACCTCATAGCCATTATCCCCATTGTCACTCACCTTACAAACCTTGGAAATCTTCAAATACTGAATAAACAACAACTCACTTTTGGGACTAAATCCATCATCTTTCCACTTCCTCACAACAACCTTTTTTGCTGCCAGCCTCTCCATTGTTTTGACCTTGATGTCTTCCAACAGTCCAATAATTGGCTTGTACCTTGCTTCAAGTATCCAGGCATTGAATGATTCAGTAAAGTTATTGTCCACAGCCTAATTTTGCACACTGTATCTAAATAGGCTCTGCACCATGCTTTGAGAGGATAGTTGTCTATTAATCCTGTCCAGCCTCTCCATTAACTTCCTTCATCTCTTGAAGTTGGTCCTCAAACTCCTCTGTAAATGATGACCATGCAGCCCACCATAACAACTTTTTCAGCTCACCTTTACCCCATCTTTTGCACCAATTTGCCTCAATATGCCTTGCACAATATCTCTGATGTGCTTCAGGTAAGACTGTCCTTACTGCTTCAAGCAGCCCCTAAGTATCAAATTAAAACAACTAAAATTAATAAAAGAAACAGTATCAAGCAAAGGAAAAAAATTTGCAAATTAGTTGTATAATATTACCTTCTGCATATCTGATATGAATGTCAGTCCTTCACCATTTTGAAGTTCAAGTGAATGTTGCAAATGTTGCATAAACCATGTCCAAGTTCTCTTAGTCTCTTTATCTACCACAGCCCAAGCTAGAGGGTAGAAAGAGTTATTACTGTCTTGACAAACAGCACACAATACCAGTCCCTTAGTTTTCCCTTTAAGGAATGTACCATCTAACCCAATAAGTGGTCTTAACCCAGACTTAAAACCCAACTTCATTGCCTTGAAGCAGATATACATCCTAAGAAATTTTCTCTTACCATTAGATAGTGCCTCTTTAGACAAATCTATTACAATGTCAGACCCTGTATTACAACTTCTCAATTCAGTAGCATAACCCTCTAACTTATTGTAAGAGTCTACAAAGCTACCTTCTAAACTCTCCAATACCTCCGTTTTGGCTCTCTTGCACTTTGCTTCACTTACATTTAGCTCAAAAACTCTATGTAAATCAGCCTTCATTTCTTTGACCTTGTATTTGGGGTCACTTTGCAATTTGTCCTTAAAATACAAGGCTATTGTTGAGTAATCTACTAAAGAGTTATCATATGTTGTTCCACACTCTATATGATTTACAAGTGTTTTGACACTAACTCCAGGAGTGGTCAAATCCCCAGAAATAAGAAGTAAAAATGGACAGCCATCAGCAGCACATGTATACTTCAATCTTTTTTTATCACTTTTCACCACAACTAGTTCTACCTTCTTAGCTAGAGCATAAAGTTTACGAAACTGTTTTGCTTCAGCTATGTCCTTGAAGGCCATACCCTTAACAATCTCCTTATAATCTTGCAAACTATCAGTTATATTACTCTTTTTTTTAGTAACAAAATTTTCTAATTCATCTTTATCATAATCTAAACAACTAAACACCATTCCATTATTACTGTCATCTTCACTTTCACTACAGTCTGTGCCCTCATTAACAATTGGTGAAAGTAGAAATGACCCATCATGCATGATAATATCAGTTACAGCATCAACAGACAATTCACAATCTTCAATAGCAAACAAGTGAATAGATTTATACTCAATAGAGATAAAAGATGTTAAGGTCCTAACTCCCTTATCACCTATTATTTCAAAATATTTCCCAGTTGGAGCAAGTACAATAAGTTACTCAAGTACAATAAGTTCCTGCACACCAACAAAATCTAACTTATTAATGTACTTATTCGCTAAGTCAATAAAAGATATTAGGTCAGGATCATACCCTTTCCAATAAGTCACACATCCTCTATCATAATGTGGTTCTGGACTGGTTAGCCACTCACCATCATGATGAAAGTATATGGTAACTTCAACCATGTTAATGACCTACAAAGAGTTATGAAATAACATAAGTAACAGTGAGTATAA